GGGTCGCGGCAGGCGCCCGGGCCGTGCCCAGCCAGAGCCACTGCTGTGGGCATGGGGTCACTGGGTGGGCCCTCCAGGGACACCGCCTCCCAGCGGGGACGCACCCCCTCCCGCCGAGGACACCCCGCCTCCCACTGGGCACGCCCACAACTCCCACAGGGGTCATCCCCACACCTCCCACCGAGGACGCTCCCCACGCCTCCCATCGGTATACGCTGCACCTCCCACTGGGCCAGCCTCCCCGGCAGCTGCCGTCAGGTCCAGCCCCAGACTCAGCTCTCCAAGGCCCTCCCCTGCCATCCGGGACGCAGAGCCTCAGGCAGGCCGAGAGCTCGGCCAAGGGGGGACCAGGCACCTGCAGCTCCTGCCTACGGCCCTCCCAGGACCACCACTGCACAGGGACGGTCCCCATGACAGGGCATCATCCCCGGGACACAGCACAACCCAACGCCAACTGCAACGGGCCTCGGCCAGAGCTGCCACGCTGTGCCCTCTGGCCTGACCACAGACATCGAGCTGCCCGACTCACGGCACAGAGGTCAGTGCAGCCCTGGCCAGAGGCACAAGGCCCACAGGCCACCTCTGGGGAGGTCTACAGAGGCCCATGGTGGCCAGGACTGGTGGCCAGCACCAGAGGGCACCCCAGACCAACTACACTAACCTCGCCTCACTGCTACCAAAGGCCCATCTCTTACTTCCAGCCAGACTCTGTCCTCACCCCCTTGGCCTCCTCACGACGTGGATTTGGGGGACACACTCGAACCACACCTTGGCACCCCAAGATGGGCACGCTGACCTGAAGGCTGGAAATAGCGCAAGGACACTGAGTCTGGCAGTGCCAGGGCCAACAGGCCCACGCTACACGACTGCGGGACGGACGCCGCAAAGACCCGGGTCCACAGAGTGCGAGGCGTGCCCACGAGCCACCAGCGGCCCGAGCGGCCACACACGCAACACAGCCAGGCCCTGAGGCCTAGAGGGAGGCTCAGGACCACGGGCACCCACGCAGAGAGCTAGGAGCCCCACATAAGCCCAGGCTTCAAAGAGTTGGAAAAGACCAGAATTAAACCCAAACGTAAGTTGAAAACAGAGGAAAATCAATTCAGTACAAGACACCAGGAAAATTCAAAAGCCAGTTCTTTGAAAAGATGAGTGGCATTCAGAAGCCCCTAGTGAGATTGACCCGAGAAGACGCCAGCCACCAGCACTGAGCTGAAAAGGGACAGGGCTCAGACCTCGCAGAGCCTGAGGAAAGTGAGCCCACCCGATGGGGTCCCCAGACGGCCAGCACTGCCCAGGAGCCCGGGCGCGTCCACAGACAGGGCCCAACTGCGAGCCCAAGCAAAAACATGGGCTTTAAGGCCATGGGCAATGGAGCAGCCACGTGTCCACACGTGGACGCTGAGACACAAGATGAGTGCGTGTGGGGAACCAGCAGTTAGCGTAATGGCTATGTCGCTGGACTCCCACGTAGTCGACCGC